GATTTTGCTGAGGCTGGCTTTGAAGTTGCCATCCTTCTGCCTCAGTCTCCTGGGCCACTGGGATTACAGTCGTGCAATTATAGTGTGCATCGCTGTGCCTGGCTTCTGGGCACTTTTTGATTTTGATCTGTCTCAAACACTAGTTTCCCAGATGATCTCTGGCTCACTTCTTCTCCTCCTTCAGGCCTCAAATGTAACTTTATTCATTCAGCTTTCTCTTACTTCTTTCTTTCTTTCCTTTTTTGTTTTGTTTTGTTTAATTTTCATTACAGTTTTCATAGTGTAGACAGTTCCACTATAAAGATAGGCCTAAAACCCAAAGGATTTTCTGTAAAAAGTTTTACCACTATATTGACATTATTTGTTCATTTCATCCATTATCAGCCTTCCCCTGAAAACTAGTGAGGGCAAGGAATTTTATAAGTTTTATTATTGGTTTATCCCCAGAACCAAGAACATTGTCTGGCACATAGAATATGTACTGAATGAATGAATCTTCCTCTTTTTTAATATCTAGCATGTTCAATACTGTATCATTTAGCATTTAATTACAGTTAATTTAGGACTATAGATCTTTGTCTCCCTCTCTCTTTGGGCTTTTTGTTTGTTTTGTTGTTGTTATTTGTATTTGTATTTGTTGTTGTTGTTGTTGTTTTGCTTTGCTGGCAATAGAACCCAGGGCCTCATGCACACTAAGCAAGTACTCTACTAATGAGCTACACCACCAGTCCTTTTTGTTTCTTTAACTGTATTCTCAAGTCAAATATAATTTTTGATGTCCTGATATATTTTTGTCTTCTTTGTCCATGCTTTATTTCATTAAACATTCATTAAATACAGGTTGAGCACCTATGTCATATGCCAGAGGTCCTATTCTTTTAGCAAAAAGTTGAAGCACTGACAAGTACACATACATATGCACATAACACATAAAGGGGAGAAATAAGACCAGAAGAAAGTATATTAAAAGGAGGACAAGTAAAACTAAGAACCCAACATTAGGACAGAGGAACAGAGTACAGGGTGAATGTGACAGACCAAGTGGGTAGAAGAAAGAAAGTGAGACAGAATAGTGAGAGACTAAGACACTGCCAAAGTAATCACCAGATGGTAAGGCTTAATATAAATTGCACCAAAGCAGATATGCAAATATATTCTACATGAATTTTTAAAATTCACATTTCAAGTTATCTGCTAGCTATCCTGTGGATAAAAATTGGATCAAGATAGCGACATCTGGTGGACATTTTAGAAGTGACCCTGGAGTTTCTCTACAATGAAAACACCATAAATACCCCCATGCTTCTACACTGACAATCATAATGTGTTAGGGCTCCACATTACAAGAGTAGCCAATGTTACTTTATATGTTTGATCTTTCTTTTTTTGTATGTAGGGGGAGATAATGAGGATTGAACACAGAGGCACTCTATCACTGAGCACATCCCCAACCCTATTTTGTGTTTTATTTAGAGACAGGGTCTCACTGAGTTGCTTAGCAACTGGCTTTGCTGAAGCCAGCTTTGAACTCTAGATCCTCCTGCCTCAGCTTCCAAAGCTGCATGATTACAGGCATGAGCTATCGCACCTGGCTATGTTTGATCTTTCTATCTCCCAATTGACTTCCAACTGCTCTGAAAGGATGTATACAAAAATTACAAAATCTGACATCACAATTCTTCTTTTACAAGATAATTTCTTATTGTAAATGTTCACATCCTTTTAAGTTGTCTTAAATTACTTATTTGTAATATGAGAGGCAAGGCTGGAGAATCTAAAAGTCCAATGACAAAGCACTGGTCAAGAAAAATCACAACCCTTATAAAGTTTACCAAACATATGTAGCCCCAATAAAACAAAAATTTTAACAATTTCCTATTAAGAAACACGGAGGGCTGGGGTTGTGGCTCAGTGGTAGGCTGCGTGCCTAGCATGTGTGGGGTACTGGGTTTGATTCTCAGCATCACATGTAAACAAATAAAGTAAAGATCCATTGACAATTAAAAAAAAAAAAAAACTTAAAAAGAAACATGGAGTGATCTGGGCATGGTGGTGCACACCTGTAATCCCAGTAGCCTGGGACAGCTGAAGCAGGAGGATCGCTATGTCCAAAGCCAGCTTTATCAACTTAGCAAGGCCCTAAAGCTACTTATCCAGGCCCTGTCTCAAAAATAAAAAATAAAAAAAAGAAGCACTGGGGCTGGGGCTCAGTGGTTAAACACCTTTAGGTTCAATCCCTGGTACCAAAAAAAAAAAGAAAGAAAGAAAGAAAAGAAAAGAAAAAGAAAGAAACATGGGGTGAAAAAAAAGCAAAGTCAAAAGGCTGGCACATAAGCTGGGTGTGGTAGCACATGCCTATGATCCCAGCTATTTGGGAGGCTGAGGCAGGAAGATCATAAGATTGAGGCCAGCTTCTACAGTTTAGCAAGACCCTATCTGAAAATAAAAACGGCTGAGAATGTAGCTTAATAGTAGAACTATTCTGGGTTCAACTCCAATACCAGAAGAAAAAAAAATTTAAACTTGTACATAATATGATCTCATGTAGAACATTCATAAAGAAAAAAAGATTAGACAAATATATTCCAAAATATGAACAATGTTTACTTCTGGATGGACAACTTGTGGCCTGGTGTGTTTTTTTTTTTTTAACTTCTTTTTGATATTTATCAAATACTTTGTAATTAATATATGTTATTTCTAAGTCAAACTTTGTCTTTTAAACAATGCATATGTTCTTATTAACAGCTAGAGTTTTTCAACTTCTGTCTGACTTTATTAATTTCAGAAAAAGATGATGAATCAAGGCTTATGTGAGCTAGAATTTCCATAAGGAGAAACAAGAAAAGAAGGCAAACATAAAAATTCTGTTCCAGGATGTGAGTTCTAGTGGCGAAATCCCCCCAGATATAGAGGTATCCTGAAATTCCAGTAATGTCACCACATTCCTCTCAGTAGTGCACCACAGACTTACAGAGGGCTTTGCTGGCACCAAGGAGTTACCGAATCTCATAATCACTTGAGTTCCCATCTTCAGAGTCCCCAGAAGGCCAAATCAGAGCCACCTTAAAATAGGAAAAGAAAGAAATGGGCAAATATTCAGGAAGAGAAAGAAATTCCACAAGCTAAAACAACTAGTTGGATCAGGCCCTGTCCCCCAAACCTATCTTAAGCATCTTGAAATACCAAAATAATACCTTGGTTAGCAGGAAATCTAGCCTAAGGTATTATAATCACAACAGAGCTATGCCAATGGCATTTTAAATTCCAGTTACTTAAGATTTCATAGTAATAAAGAGCAATTCTCCTATCCATTTCCCTCATTCATTCACTTATCAGCCAAGGGCCATAATGTATATTCTGAAGATAATTAGGAGAAATATTGGAAGCTTTGCTTCTTGGCATTTATTCTTTAATTCCCAGAATTCATCCTTAACTCCAAAACGTATAATTCTAATGTAGAAATGTATATACAGCACTTTAAGCTTACAGAGTAAACCTTGGAATTAGGGGTAATTTTTTTTACCCCCAGGCTAACATATAGAAAATAGGGTAGGCATAAAGAAAAATTAAATAAATCATTTCATTTTCAAGTTCATGGAACTTGACATCATTATTTTAAGTGAAATAAGCCAAACTCAGAACCTCAAAGGTTGAATGTTTTCTCACGCATGTGGAAGCTAGAGGGGGAAAAGGAAAAGAAAGGTGGGGAGTGATAGAATAAAAAGCAAAGGGAGATCGTGAAACAGAGAAAAGGGACCATGGGGTTGTGAGGTAGTGTTGGGGAGGGATATTAGCCAAATTATATTGTTGTATTGGGTGCATGTACTGATATGTAACAACAAATACCACCATTATGTATAACTAAAACGCACCAGTAAAAAAGAAAGAAAATAGGGTAGGAGTTGCTCCAACAATTAGTGGTGGCAGCCCCCCTGGTCCACATTGTATAAATCTACTTGCACTACCTAGGTCTGCACCAAAGCACAAGGAGAACAAGCCAGTAAAATAATAATGGTGATGATGATAGTGGCAGCCAACATTCGAGTACGTATTATACACTGTTGCTAGTCCTTTAAATTCTCACAAGCACTCTCTGATGTTGATACTATTCTTACCAACTTTTTTTGTGCTGGGATTTCATTTTCACTACTCTTACCCACCTTCAGAGATTAATCCGACTTAGGGACCAACAGAGGGTCAGCGACATTTGGGTAGGAAGGTGTGCAGGTTGAGAAGGGGAAGCACGATACCCCTCGTCTCTATACTCTTGAAGTCTAAAACAGAAACTGCACAATAAGAATCTCCAGGGCTCAGAGAGGAATCCGTCTCATTCTTCTCATCCCACCGTCTCCCCCTCGCTCGATCCGATCTGGACATTCATTCGTGGTAATATTTTCCAGTTACCAGTCACTTTTAGCACCTACCTTTCAAAGTACCGGTATGTCTGGTTCAGCATCTCGGTCCCCAGCCATTCTGGACTCGGCCTGCGCTTTCTCTGGCGTCGCCGCTGCGTTACCGCTGCCATGGTAACACGGAGGCGACCCCGCAGCTCCGCCTTCCTGCAGCCAGCACGAGCTGGCCCGGTCTGGCCCTGATTCCACGCCCCCGACTTCCGGACCCCGCCTCCAGCCGGCCCGAGCCCGCCCCTGCTAGATCGCGCCCCGGACGCCGGGGACCCGGACTCTACCACCTGCCAACCCAGACTCCGCCCCCACCATCCCGTACCCGCCTCCCAACCCATCAGACCACCACTCCCCGCAGGCCTTGATCTGGCTGTCCCCCTGGCCACGCCCCCTGCGAATCTGGACCCTTGTCCTGCCGGCACCGCCCAGGGCCTTCCTTCAACCAATGAGAGTCCTCCCACTGTTCAGCCAAACCACACCCGAGTCCCGCAGCTGCGCGGGCAGAGAATGGGGTCGCTCAGGTGCTAGTACTGGTTGAATTTTCTGCTGGGCGGGGACCCGCTTCAAAACCCCGCCCCAGAAAACGGACCAGGCTTGTTCCTCACGCTGTTTATTGATTTTGCGGCTCCACGGAGCAATAGCTACCAGTTCAGCCAAGAAGAGTTTCCGGGTTTCTCCACGCTGTTTGGTGACTTGAAGTTCCCGTGGCCAGTGGTTGGAGAAAGCTTCTTCCGTGCCTCAGCGCACGCCCCCATTTATCTCCCTAGGTGTGGGACCCTTGATCCCGCCGCCACTGAGGGAACTGCCCAAGCCAGCCCTGGAGGCTGTATGCAAAAGCTCAGAATGGTTTTCCAGAGCACCCCCTCTTCAACTTTGGAGTTTAAGGTGTGTAAAAGTGATACCATTAAATAAAACTTAACGCAATCAGCTCATCGTGAGCCGGTTTTTTTCCGCACTTGAGAGCCTGAGCAATGTTAGGAGTCAAGGGCCTTCCTGCACAGTTCACTTAACCTTTTTTTTTTTTTTTTTTTGTGGAACTCTTTCACCCATAACTAACCTAATCACAACTCCAAGCTAACAATGGCAAATAAGAAGCCTAGGAGAGAGGCTGGAGACATCCATAATTCCAAAGGGCTCTGGAGCTCTTTAAGATTAAAATGTGGCCAACATCCCTGGGCCACTCATTCCCCAAAGCAGTGGATTCTCCCCACAGGAGTAGTGGTAAAAAGATGGAAACTGTTCTTGCTCCGGAGGCTCACACCAGAGTCCCATTCTTGCTGTCATATCGAGGTGTGGCCTGGGGGAAGCAAAGGGTAGCATACTCTGTAGCATTTTCTAAATACCAGTGTTTCACTTCACTGGCAGAGCGTGGTTGGGTAAGACTGTTCACTTGAATGTCTGCATAATGTAAGTTGCTCTCCTCCAACTTGAGGTCTTGATTCCTCTTTTGAGATTTAGGCTGCTGTAACACCTGCTCATACATGTGTCCTCTTATTTCATGGTCCTGCAAGGAATTGGCAGAATTAAAGATGATGCTTGGCTTGGTTTTGCCCCTCACCGCTAGTGCAGAGCAAACTAGACTGAGGTCCCTTTACTTTGCTCCTTAGGGACAGAGGAGGCTAAGCAGAACCAGCAAATTCTACAGATGACTGAGATGTGTTTGTCCCAGGGTAAAAAAGATAAATACTGGGATCCCATGTCTGAGTAGTCCCAAGAGGCGATGAGGCCTGTCATTACCTTTGTGAAATTCTGCTGCAGCTGTTGTTGCTGCTTCTTCAATGTGCGTCTTGCTTGGCTCCCTGCAGGGAAGAAATCCAACTTAACTCCATTCTCTGTTTCTGCTGAGACCGCCCTTTTCGATCTTTAGTTAACTACTGTGGGGGGCTTCTACACTTCCTGTCTCCATTCCCAATTCTTTCACTTCTGTTGTTCCTACATCTGAACTCCTTCGCAGGGTATACCATCTGTCTTTTTCACAATCTGGTCATAATATCTTCCATCCTCATTTTCCCCAGCCCCTGACATAGTTTCATAAATATATGTTGAGACTCTGTGCCACGTTTTAGGGATAGAAGCATGAGGAGGCGGTTTCTACTGCTTCAGGGAGCTTAGAGACTACTGGGGCAGACAAATTAGTAAACAGACTGACTACTATGTGGTAGGTTAGTGCTCAGTCACATTAGTGGGCCACTTTCAATCAAGTCTCTCTCACTTTCTCCTTTCTGTATCTTTCACATGAGTGAGTATCTATTACAGCACAAATAGATAATGTTATCATTATTTGTTTACATGAGTCTACCTCTCAAACTTGATTTTCAGCTCTTCCAGGGCTGAGACCATGTGCCCTTCTTGTGCTTCTTTGCCTCCACCTCACAGAGTGGCTCACATTCAATATAAATGCTCTGTGATATTTACTAAATGAATGAAAGAATGGGTGCCCCAACCTGCCACTCTGAGATAATATAAAAGAAATAAGATCCACAGACTCAGGGCTACTCTTGAACCCAGCAAATTAAAGATTCTCTTTGGTGTATTATCTTCCTTTTTTGCATCCAAGGCCACTTGTTTTTTTTTACCCTTATGCCCTTTCCTTTATTATTTTTTTATTATAATTATTATTTTTTTAGTGTGTGTGTGTGGTGCTGGGGATTGAACCCAGGGCCATGTGCATGTGAGGCAAACATTCTACCAACTGAGCTATATCCCCAGCCCCACCCTTTATGCCCTTTCCTAAGATATCATTTGTCTTGTCTCCTCTAATTTGCTCTACCCAGGGCTTTCCCTCAAAGTTACCTTTTTTCTTTTTCTTCTGGAAAGTTGATGGGCAGCTCCTGTGATAGGAAAAACAGATCACCTATGTGCAAGAGCTCTGACCTCCCTTCTTTCATTATTTGTTCTGTGGTCTCTGTAACATTCCCTAAAAATTCATCCTGAGCCAGGTTCAGCCTGAAAGCATTTCTCAAGGGTACCTCTCCCAGATGGATGGTTCTGGAAGGTAGAGTGGTACAACTGACATAACCAAACCCAAAATACAGCTTTAGGCAACCAGCACTACATGCCAGGGAAATGTTGCTGGCTTGAGGGCTATTCTGGGATTGTCTAACAAGCTAATCCCCAGCAGAGGGTAAGGGAAACCTGCCAAATAATGGGATATTCCTGGATCCAGAGACCCTCTTGCTTCTTCTTCTGTACTATTTTTTTTTCAGGGTCTTTACCAACTTGAGACTTTCATTCTGGGAGTCATAAAAGCTGTTAGAGCTAATTAGTTAGGACCCCTCAAAGTCCTTTTCCAATAAGTGACCTCCCTACTGGCTTCCCTGTCCTTGCTTTTAATTAGCAGAAAGTGAGAGATGTTTAACCTTTAATGTCCTTTGGAGTACTTTGTCTACAGCACAGGGAGCACTGAATTTGGTGAGTGACTCAGCTAGCTTGCCCTCACTGCAGGACAGACCTCTAATATTAATTTCTAAGCCCCTAGGGTCCCCACAGCAGCCAGTGTGTCTATGTAGTTGTCAACGGTTTGATACCCAAAGAAAAAACACTTGTCTGAGGAAATAGGCTGAATAGTTTTGGACTTACTCGGATGCTTTTTCTTGCTAGTACATTTCCAAATCTCACCACAGCCGACCCTATTTGTCTGTCTGATTTCTCCTCTCCCCGGGGAGTTTCCTTCTTTTGCTAATTGAAAAGAAAGAGAGGAGACAGACTTCTAAATTATGTTGACTGTACTATTGTAGAAAAAAATTAGGATTTTTCCTTATACTTTTGATAGAGGTCTGGGTTTTGGTGTGATTTTTGGTTTTGATGCCTACTGAGTTGAGAACAGTTACACTTCATCCAAATGCTACAAGTAAGTGGTTCAGCAGAAAAAACAACTTCTCTCTTTCAACTTCCTCCTCTACCGCTTCAGTTTTTGTTTTGTGTTACAGCTGCCCGCTAATAGTCTTATCCTAGAAGCCAGAGAATCGCCTAATTCCTTGCCCCTTGTCTTACTGCTTTCCTAGTTATTTCTATTTAAATGGATAGAAAAAACATCAATTCCAAAAGACATGACTGGCCAGGTGCAGTAGCATACACCTGCAATTCTAGCTAATTGGGAGGCTGAGGTGACAAGTTTGAGGGCAGTCTAGGAAACTTAGAGAGACCCCAACTCAAAAAAATAAAGGGGGGGGGCTAGAAGGAAGCTCAGGGGCAGAGTGCCTCTGGGTTTAATCCTCAATACTGCAAAAATAAATAAGTAAACAAACAAAATGACTAGGGCTAACCAATTTTAGTAAACAGAGCCTCTTTCCAAATTGGATATTGCACAGTGCTTGGATACAACCCAGAGTGTTAATAGGTGACAATTTATTTTTACATCAGACTTCAGGAAACTAAATGGGCACTCACAGTTGTAGTAGGCTCAATCCTTCCAAAATGCAATTGGAAATAAGCATGAAAAGCCTTAAATATAGCAATTCTATATCCTAATAAATAATACATCATGTGCAAATATGGCTACTCTTTGTAGCATTGTTTATAATTTCAAAAAATAGAAAACACCATGAAGTTCAATATTTGGTTACTGACCAAATAAATGGTATATCCAGTCAATGGAAAAAAATTGGGGGGCTGGGGATGTGGCTGAAGTGGTAGCACGCTCGCTTAGCATGCGTAAGGCACTGGGTTCGATTCTCAGCACCACATAAAAATAAAGATATTGTGTCCACTTAAAACTAAAAACTAAATATTAAAAAAGTCTACCTTTAAAAAAAGAAAAAAAAGTTTTTTACATAGTTGTAGATGGACAGCATGACTTTATTTTATTTATTTATGTGGTATTGAGGATCAAACCCAATGCCTCACACATGCTAGGCAAGTGCTCTACCACTGAACTACACCCCAGCCCCACTCAATGGAAATTCATGTAACCACTTTAAAAAGGATGTCGGGAGAACACCTAATAGCATGAAAATTTTACTTTTTATTAAGTTAATAAAAAGATAAGAAGCTGGGCACAGTGACACATGCCTGTAATTCCAGAACTCCAGCTGTTGAGGCATGATAGTAAGTTTGAGGTCAACTTGGGAAACTGAGCAAGACCTGTCTCAAAATAAAAAATAAAAAGGGCTGGAGATGTACCTCAGGGGAGAGTGGGTGCCTTATTTATTTTTGTTTATTTTTAAATTGATTTTCATTTTCTTTTTTTAAAATATTTTTTTAGTTGTAGTTGGACACAATACCTTTATTTTATTTATTTTTATGTGGTGCTGAGGATCAAACTCAGTGTCTCGCTAGGTGAGCGCTCTACCACTGAGCCATAACCCCACCCCCTCATTTTCTTTTCTTGGTTATTTTCCAAATTTTCTGTAATGAATGTTTATTACTTTTTTTTTTTTGTACTGGAGATTAAACCCAGGGGTACTTAAACACCGAGCCACATTCCCAGCCCTTTTCTATATTTTATTTAGAGACAGGGTCTCACTGAGTTGCTTAAGGCCTCACTAAATTGCTGAAGCTGGCTTTGAACTTGTGATCCTCCTGCCTCTGCCTCCCTAGCCTCTGGGATTACAGGCATGCACCACCACACTCAGCTTATCTATTACTTTTATAATCTGAAAAAAAACAACAACAACAACAACAAAGAATATTTTAAAATAAAAATCTTTGGGCTGGGGATATAGTTCAGTTGGTAGAGTGCTTGCCTAGCATGTACAAGGCCCTGGGTTCAATCCCCAGCACCACTGTAAGTAAATAAGTAAATAAATAAGTAAAATAAAAATCTTCACTTGTCATAGTATCATTAAGTCTTTGAAGGTTTATTGAGATAACTAGAAACAGAACCATTTTTATCTGATCCTATTAATATTTTAATAGGAACAAAAATAGATTTGGTTAGAATGTCTGTGAAAGTGTCTCTAGAATGGGTTTTAGAGTCAGACTGACTGGTCAGGTTAGCTGTAAGACTTCAGAAGGTTTTGAACTTCTCTAGTCTTCTATTTGAGCATTAATGAGGATGATATTAGAATCTAAACATCATGGGGCTGGGCACAGTGGTGCACATCTGTAATCCCAGTAACTCAAGAGGCCTAGGCAAGAGAAGATCCCAAGTTAAAGGCCAGCATGAGCAATTTTGTGAGACCCTATCTCAAAATAAAAAATAAAAAGGGCTGGGGTTGTAACTCAGTAGTAGACCACCCTTGAGTTCAATAAAGAATATGGAGGAGGGGCTGGGGATGTGGCTCAAGCAGTCGGTCGGGTGGTAGCCTGGTATGCGCGGAGATCCTCAGCACCACATAAAAATAAAATAAAGATGTTGTATCCGAAAACTAAAAAAAAATAAATATTAAAAAAAGAATATGGAGAAGAAGAGAGGGAGGAGAAAGCAGAGGGCAGGAGGAGGAAAGAGAGAATCTAAACATGGGACTATTGTAAGGATTAAATAAAATAGTGAAGATACTACGCACATTTCTGTCTATAATGAGCATCAATAACGAAGCTAAGATGACTGTCAATAATTACCACCATCAGAAATGAACAAACCAATAATAAAGAACATAAACACTTGGGAAGATGGGGAGTGAATGAGATGTTATATCCCCTTCTCTAGAAGCTGTTCTGCTACTAGATGTCCTGTTTTATAGACATCTCACTATTTTAAAGAGTGTTTTTTATTAAATTAATTAATTTATTTTAAAAATTTATTCTAATTTGCTATATATGTTAAAGAGTATTTTGTTTGTTTGTTTTCAGTGATAACAACATTCTGGAAGACATGTACTTTTGTTCCCATTTTATAGATGGGTCAACTATAACTTTGGTAACTTATTCAAGAAGGCAAGGATCAAGTTTATTTTCTTTTTTTTTTTTTTAGTGTCTTCTGCATCTATCACTGTGCCCAGTATATATAGAATGTTCAATAAATATTTGTTTAATAAAGGAAAATAAATAATTAGTAGGGATAGGACTTGAATCCAATGTACTGACCCTAAGTCCTATTTGCTTTCCAATGTACCTTGCTTGTCTCTTCAAATATAGGGTTTTTTTTTTTTTTAATCAACAAGACAGCCTTAATATTAGTGCTGACTACAGAATGATAGTGGTCAGTATTAGGTCTTGGAGTTTATGGTGAAAATTCTGCAAAAGAACAGCTACAATACCACAAATAACTTAGTATGAGGTTTTCACATATACTATATCCTTTGCTCTTCAAAACAAAACAGTGATCTAAACAATAAGAGTTACGTTAATCTATATTTTGCACAGAGAAATTAAAGGATTTGCCTAAGATCACATAGCAAATAAGTATGAAAGTTATATTCATATATTCCATGGATATTCTCCTTTCCACTTCCACCCTTTTAAACAGAAACTTTTTCTAAAGTTGATCTGCTTGATCTGTGATTACTAGTGGTGGAAGAATGGGTTGTGAGGTCAGGCAGGCTTGGGTTGGAACCTTGCTTTACCTGCTTCTGGCCAGGTCACAGGACCAGAAAGTTAACTTCTCACCTCTCTGAGCCTCAGCTTTTGGCTGGCTATAAAGTGGGAGGAGGGGTAAGACCACTTACTCATAGAAGTGTTGGGAAAATTAGATGAAACTGTAGAGTGCCTGGCATAGAAAGCTCTCAAATGCTACAACTATTGTTATTACCTGGGGAAGGAGGGAAAGGAGAGAAGGGGAAAGGAAGAAAGAGAACAAAGAGAAACAATGCCAATTCACCATGTCCAGCCCTGCTAAGGACACTGGAGTGGGGTATTGCTGTCTTTTCTAAGGTCTCCTGAAAGGAGTAAATGGGAAGGAGATGCTGCTCTGGTGTGGGGACCAGGAGGTACCAGGCTGAGGAAGGTGGCAGTGGGAGGCAGTATCTCCAGGCTCTCTGATTCCCCACATATACCAACAGAGATGATAGATACCCTCTGCCCTTCCACCCTACTCACCAGCTTCCCCTGCAGCAGAGCTGGTTTCCCATGGCGTATGGTCCCCCGGGGAGCACAGCTGTTTTCCAACATAAAGAGGCTTGTGCATTTCCTGGTTCCTGGTTTAGCTTTCCGTGGCAGCTCCTAGGGAGTCTCTGTCAGTGTCAGATTTCAACCTAACAGGTTGGACTTTGGAAGTCACCTGCTGGAATGATTCCCAGGTGACTGTTCCCAGCCAAGAGTAGAACAACATACAGGGCTCCAGGTGACAACTATCTCACCTTCGGGATTTGAGGCTTCTTTTAATGAAACCATGAACTTTGAGCTTCCAGCTTCAAATAAAAAAGAAACCTGAGATAGAAAAGGACTCTGCATTTCCTTAGGAAAGTTTTTCCACTAGATCATGCTGCATTTGAAATATAGCCTCCATAGTAGAGTCTCCCCTATTTTCGCCAAGCACCTCTCAAATTTGAGTTTCATTCCAAAGGTAATTGGTACCAATTGTTTATGATTTCTGTCCAGAATCTGGGTTTGAATAATAGAGTGTCTTGGAAACTGAATTTTAGGAAAATGGATTTCTTTTATATTCTCTCTTGCTATTGGAATTAATGTGGGCAAATCACTTAAACTTTTAGAGACTAGGTTTTCAGGATTGTAAAGCAGAGGTAATAAATTTATCATCTAATCCGCTTTCTGGTATAGAATCAGATGATTCTATGATTGGAATGGTCTCAGCATTTCTTGACCACTAACTTCCCCATCCCTAGTTTCAGGACTACAAAATCTTCACACAGCTGTGGCTTCTGTCTCTAAGTTAGACTCATTCCCCACTTTCCAGCAACTAGGATGCAGCTAAGCAAATTCCTCTGTTGAAATTATGAGTTCTACAAAAGTATATAAAGCCCACAAATCTTGTTTTCAGTATTCTCACCTCATCTTTAGTGTCTTCCTCAGCTCTGGACTCCACAGAACACCCTGGACTCTGAACTTCTCCCCATCTTCTTAGAAAAATGTGGATAAGAATGACAACCTCATAGGATTGTGGTGAAGATTGAATGAGATATATGTAGGCAAAACACTAGCTCAAGGCCTGACACATGAGAAGCTCTCAGTAAGTCTTAGCTGTTGTTATTATTATTGCTTCTTGTTCTCCAGTAATTATCTTATATTATTACCTGTGCCCCAATCTTTGCATATGCTCCTGCCCTGCAGACCATTTTGTAGTCTACCATTAACTGTGTTCTTTTCATCCTGTTACCTGCTCATCTCCCCCTAGTCAAAAGCTATCAGTAGGGCTGGAATTGTAGCTCAATGGCAGAGTGCTTGCTTAGCATGTGTGAGACTCTGGGTTCAATCCTCAATATCTCATAAAAGTAAATAAAATAAAGGCATTCTGTCCATCAACAACTAAAAAACAATGACAACAACAAACAAATAAAAACTATCAGTAATTTCCTGTTACCTATGTGATAGAATTCCAGCATCTTTTTTTTTTTTTTTTCAGATTCTGGGGATTGAACCCATGGGTGCTCTACAATTGTGATACACCCCCAGCTCTTTTAATTTATTTTGAGATAGGGTCTTGCTGAGTTGCCCAGACTGGTCTTGAATTTATGATCCTCCTGCCTCAGCCTTCCAAGTATCTGGTATTGCAGGAGGATGCCAGGGTGACCGTTTTAGAATTCCAGTTATGGAAGCTTTCCATAATTTGGTCCCTTTCCAACAACCTCTTCTGTAATTTACAGGAAATCACCTAAAAGATTTTTAGATATCCAGAAACTCCATACAGTGCATTTGTGGCAGAAAACCTGATGTGTTTTAAGCAATATTAATAGGAATGTAGAGTGATAAATAAGGTTATTGATTATTCTACTGAAGTCTCTAGTATACTAGTCAATTCATGCTTGGAATAATAATTTTAGGTCTGTATGTTGAATTTCAAGTTACACTGTCAAATGGCAGTGTGTTCAAAAGAAATCTGTGTAGTATGTGGTATGGAAAGTGCTATAACGTATAGCTGAAAGAACTAGGCACAATTTCCCAGAAAAGGGATGCATAAAAAAAGCAATATGATTTACATTTAAATATTTGAAGGACTTTCAAGTGAAAGATAATTGCATTTGTTTTCTGTACATAAACAGACCAATGGACAGAAGATACTCAAATGCAGATTTTGGAACAGAAGGAAGAATTTATAAGTTATGTCAGAAAAGAAAATGGAGTGGGCTACTTGATGAAGTTCTAAGTTCTCTGTCATTCAAATTGCCCCAGAAGCTGGACATGGTGACATACATCTATAATCCCAGCAACTCCAGTTAGATGGCCAGTTTGAGAGTAGCCCAGGCAACTTAGGGAGACTGTCACAAAATAAAATAAAAATATAAAGGGCTACGGCTGGGGTTGTGGCTCAGCGATAGAGCACTCGCCTAATATGTGTGAGGCCCTGGGTTCAATCCTCAGCACCACATAAAAATAAGTAAATAAAATAAAGGTATTGTGTCCAACTATAACTAAAAAATAAATATTTAAAAAATATATAAAGGACTAATGATGTAACTTAGTGGTAGGGTGCTTACCCAATATATGCTTACCTTGCATATTGGGTAAGGGCCTCATGTCTGTCCTGAGGTCAGTAGGAAGGAGAGAGAGCCCTAGTTGAGGGGGGGTGAATGGGGAGTCTGAGTGGAAGATGGATTTCAGTTAAGCCTGAAGTGGGTTCAATCTTCAATAATGAGAAAAGAAAAAGGGGAAAAAAAATCCCAGAAGTTGATTAATAACTAAATTTTTTCTTTTAAGAAATCCTTTTCTTTAGGCAGAGCTCAGAAGCTGAGAATGTAGCTTGGTGGGAGAGTTCATGCTTTTTTAAAAATATTTTTTGGTGCATTATAATTATATGTAATAGTGGAGTTCATATGCATTCATACTTAATGGGCATAAGACCCTGGGTTCAATCCTCAGTCCCCAAATAAATAAATAACAGAATAATATGAAGGTATTCTGGTTGAAGTCTGAGTAGAATTCTTTTTTTTTAAATTTTTTTTTTTTTAGTTGTAGTTGGACACAATACCTTTTATTTTATTTATTTATTTATACGTGGTGCTAAGGATCAAACCCAGGGCCTCACGCGTGCTAGGCAAGTGCTCTACCGCTGAGTCACAACCCCAGCCCTAGAATTCTTTTTTTATTCTTCTCAACTACATGGTAAGATTTCTGAGTATATAAGAAAGATTTTCATTTTTATAATTCATATTTATAATGTATATCCCCCTAGTGCATTACTTGGAGTTTGATAAATATTTGTTGAGTGAATGAATGGATCGATGGATGAATGAACAGTTGAACATAATATTATTTCTTCTAAGTGCACTTTGATCTTTAATGGAAGACAGTCCTTTAATCAATAATTGAATTCTTTAAGTGAGGATTCTTATCCTAGGGATCCACAATCCTTAAAAGGGGCATGAATGGATCCCCAAAATTGTGTGAAACTATTCAAACAGTATTGTCAAATTTGGGAGCATGTGCATTTTTCTGGAAGAGTATCTACGGTTTCATCAGATTTTCAAATCAGTCTGTTACCCCCAAAAGTCAAGAAAAATCACTTAAATGGAAGAATTTCAAGTGTCTACCACCATCTGGAAAAAAATACACTCTGGGGCAAGGAAATCTTCTAATGTTCCCCAAATCATAGACATGCACAACCGCTTGATTAAAGAGTAGGTATGGGGATAGACCCCCAGGCTTTCCTGAACACACCATGCCCATAGCCTTAAGACCTTACTTACAAGGGACGCTTCCCTGCTAACCACCAACCCAGTAAGAGACCTAGATCCCTGCATTTAGTCTTTTTTTTTTTTTTTTTTTTTTTTTTAAATATTTATTTATTTATTTATTTTAGTTCTCGGCGGACACAACATCTTTGTTTGTATGTGGTGCTGAGGATCGAACCCGGGCCGCACGCATGCCAGGCGAGCGCGCTACTGCTTGAGCCACATCCCCAGCCCCTGCATTTAGTCTTGGATTAGGTGAAGTGATGCAGTAATTCCTCTTTTTGAGACAATGCTTCCTCACATGGGCCTCCCTTGTACAGAGGATGAGGAGGCTGTGGGGTTCAGTGACAACGGTGGAGGCTTTTGTGCCCATGTATGCATACTCAGACCATCAGAATCAGAAACCATTTCAGAGGACAGACCTTAGTATGGAAAAACAAAGCATTCACTCCAGGGCTTTAGGCAACTCTCCCCAGCCAAAAATCATTTTCCCAACCCCTACCCAAAAAGGGCCAGACAGTCTGGAGACCCTTGTTTTTGTGTCTCTAATCACCAGCTCAGACAGTGCCCTCTGGGCTGTTTGGATGGCATATCCCTTTTCCCTCCCAGGATCACTCTCTCTTTTGTTGCATTGTGAGAAAATTATGATTAGGAATTTGATCTGGAGCCAGTGTTAGCTTCCGGCCGTGATCTCAGCATCTAAGTGTGAGCTCAGGGTACTGTGACGTTGAGCACATATAACAGGACCTTTTTGTCTAGCTGGCTATGATCTCTCCTTCCCACCCATCCCATTTTCCAGGCCACAGAATACTGAGCAGCACAAAGGAGGCCCCAAGATTTGGGTTTATTCAGTTCCACCCAGAACTAAACCAAATGCTATAACATGTCCCCAAAAGACCAAACCATACACTGTGGACCATGCACCTTTCCCTTCCCCCAAGGATGCTGCTACCTCTGGGGTGGTGGGCAGCTGCTCAGATCACTTCGGGAGGTAGAAGGGACTTGCTGGGTGCTGGGTCTATGGCAGTCAGGACTCAACTCTGGCTGCTTCCTCCTCTTCCTCTGGATCAGGAGGTGCAGAGAGCAGGGAGATGTAGACCTCATTGACCTCTGTGTCCAAATGACGGCCACCTCGTGGTGCCTCCAGGTTAAGGATGCCATCATGGGAGAGAGCAGCTTTGACTCGCCAGGGGTCAACATCAGCAGGTAGAACATAGGTGCGGCAGAACTCTCGAGACACGAAGCCGTGGCGGTCCAGGCGCTGGGGGTGCTTGGCAGACACCTCCAGTAGGTTGTCCACAGTCCTCACAGTCACCTCATCTGGGGTAAAGTGGCTCACATCCAGAAATGCCTGGAACTTGCCCTCACTGAGCCTGAGCTCAGAGGCCCCTGCCCTGCTGCCCTCCCCAGCTTGGGTGGCCCGAGGCCGCACATAGTAGCCATGATAGAGGGTGGGGGTCAGGATCTCTTCTGGAAGTAGGCCTGAGGGCAGAGAGAGAAGGCAAGAGGCAGGATGAGGGAGGATAAGGTGGGCACAAGGGTGAAATGAGAGATCATGAGATGCAGGAATGGGAAGAGCCGGAGGGGAGTCAAAAGTAGGGAAGGGGAACCAGGCAGACAGCTGGGAAGAGGGTGGTGCTGAAAGGAAATGAAACTGTAGTAGAGCAGGGAAGCCAAGCCAGGATTTGGTGGGTAGAAGGGATTTAGGGAAGCGCACAAAGAAAGGAAAGATGCAGGTATCAAAGCACTGCAGGGCCCCATGTCTGTCTTGAGGTCAGTAGGGAGGGAAGAGAGCCCTGGTTGAGGGGGGTGAGCGGGGAGTCTGAGTGGGAGATGGCTTGCCCCAGGAGTTCAGTTAAGCCTGAAGTGGGGTGGAAGCCAGTAACTTTGGGAGGTCAGCCCAGAATATCGGGAAGTGGGGGTGGGAGGCACTGGGGTGGCGACCGGCCCATACCTTCGCCAAAGCGCTGCTCACCCAGGCGGCTGGGGTTGGCAAATTCGTACTCGGCGGTGGCCGGGTGGGCATGTGGCACTGAGCGGCCCGACATGGCGGCAGTCGCTGCAGCAGTCCTGCTCCGAGATGCGGCCCCAACAGGCGCAACGCGACCCCTCCAGCTGCCCGGAGAGCTAGAGCTCAGTCGGAGGCGGAGGCGGGGTCTACACCACCCAAAATAGTGCAGAGCCTCTGCGGGGAGGGCAGGGAGCAGGGGCCCCGAGTGCAGTGATGAGGGTGTGACCAACGCCGCCTGACCCAGACCCCCAGTCCCCTCTTCTGCACACGCTTCAGCTGTCTCAGGGGGCCTGAGAGGACAGCTGGGAGTCCTGACCCTGGAGTGAGCTGGGGAGGGGAGCTGGTGCTAGCTGAGACCCTCACCTAGCTGAGGGGCCTAGCTGAGACCCTCACCAACAGTTTGCACATTTCCACATCACCTTTTCTCCTCAGGCTTAAGCAACATGCATGATGCTTAATAAACACTCTGGATTTAATGTTATGCCAGCCCCACAGCATAAAAGATATAAGAAACTTTACTGCCCTTTTTTGGGAGCACTGCCCAGATTGTCAGGGTCTTCTCCTGAAACCAGGTCAACCCAGGGCACCCAGTATATGCTTGCTACTGACATATTGGCATTCACTGCTCTCCCCCAGGGACCCACAAAGAGTTAATGTCCCTGGGGCCCAGCCTAGGAAGATTCCAGTCCCTGCCCAGGCCCAAGATAGTTGCTGGCTCAATTCCCCTGGCATGCAGTACTGGAAGGGAGGAGGAGGGGCCGGCCAGCGCCTGCTTGGGATTCCTGACTCTGTCCAGATCTAGAGAACAGAGGATGGGGGTGGGTGCCACTGGGTGTGGACAGAAATCCAGTGAAACAAGACCATGACAAGTCACTGGCCAGCTCAGACGTGTTTGTGTTTCTCTTTTCTTAGCTCAGTGAGTACCGGGTATGTGTCACACTGCCAAATCCCCGATCACAAGTCTCCATGAACTGGCGGTGAGCTGGGATAATAAAACCCCTGACATCACCATTCCAGAAGCTTCACAAGACTGCATATATAAGGGGCTGGCTGTAGCTGCAGCTGAAGGAGCTGACTAGCCAGCTGACCCCTGCATTCACTTAGCAGCCATGGACATCGCCATTCACCACCCCTGGATCCGGCGCCCCTTCTTTCCTTTCCACTCTCCCAGCCGCCTCTTTGACCAGTTCTTCGGAGAGCACCTGTTGGAGTCTGACCTCTTCCCAACATCCACTTCCCTGAGCCCCTTCTACCTTCGGCCACCCTCCTTCTTGCGGGCACCCAGCTGGATTGACACTGGACTCTCAGAGGTGAGTCTCCCTTTTGCCAGGACAGGAGCCCTTCCTGGAATCTCCTGAATATTCTCTATTTTTCTTTTTTTTCCCCTGCCTAAGCCATTTAGGCACATGTGTCCAGAATTGAAAAAAAGTGGGGTTAGTAATGCTTCCTTCCCCCAGGCACCTGTTTCTATTTGATGCTCCTCTGTATCCTATTTATTACATTTTTTTAAAATACACAGTGAAGATCATCCTCTGTTCCCTTTTAAGCAGGATAACCTTTTTGGTTTGATTCATAATAATCTACAAGGAAAAAGCTGTCTTCAAACTCCTTTGCTCATCTCTGCTAATATCTCATACTCTTAGCAGATTTTATTATGAAGTTCTAGAGCCCAGGGAGACCTATCTCATCCTGAGCTCTTCATCCCCACTGAGTGGAGCTGGAGATAACAGTCAACTGTTTTCTTTCATTCTGTTCTCTCTAAGGTTTTCCAGGTGCCTTAGGGCTGTGGCAGGGCAGTGGCCTGGAGCCAACCCTTATATGGAAATAACCAGGGTCCAGTCTTAGGACCCCCTTTTATCCTAAGAGGGTGGGAAAATGTGGTGAACAGAGGCTATCATAGATAAGCTCTGGTTTAAAAATATTTAAGTGTGAGTAAACAGCAGCTGAGTGGGCAAGGGCTTTGAAAGGACAAGCAGGATCAACAGAACATTCCAGATTGAGTGGGTGGGAAATTTGGCAGAGAACTGAGCAAAAAGAAGGGGCCTTTGTCTCACAGACAAATGACAAAGCTAGGCACTGGGTCAGCAAGGCAGCAGAAGCCAGGCCCACATCCATCCTTGTGACGGGTCTCCTAGGTGGTCAGTATTCTTTCCTGTGTACCTAAATAAAGTTTGGGCCTGTGGCCAAGAAGTAGGCCTTGGGTACCACTGTGGTGGCTACCCTGAGCCAGAGAGCCATGTTTATTCAAAAGTTATTTTTAATACACAAGAGGAAGATGAAATACCTAGATAGAAAGCAAGTCTGCAGAATGAGACTGCACCAGTGTAATCAACATTCTTGCCATCTTTTCTCTTCCCTACTCACTTCCCTTGCTGTTTCTAGATGCGTATGGAGAAGGACAGGTTCTCTGTCAACCTGGATGTGAAGCACTTCTCCCCAGAGGAACTCAAGGTCAAGGTGCTGGGAGATGTGATTGAGGTGCATGGCAAGCATGAAGAGCGCCAGGTATGGAGTTTTTTTTCCCTTATGCTCATTCAGTGTATCCTGTACACCAGGTACTGCCATCAGCCTCTGAGACTGGAAAACTAAATTAGGGATAAACTTGTTTTGTTTGCCCAGAGAAATGGCCTTTGTTGTTCTGATTGCTTTGGATAGGGTGTTCACTCCCCATTTAAGCCAGGGGTTTTCAACCTTGGCTGCATTAGGATCATGAGAATTTTTTTAAATTCCAAGGTTCAGGCATACCCCAGACTAATTAAATCAGAATTTTTAGGGGGTGTAATTCAGGAATCAGCATTTCTTAAAGTTCCCTGGGTAATTTTAATCTATAGCCAAGACCAGAACCATTGCCTTAGGCATAGTGTTGTCTTGACACTTGGTTGCTTTACGTAATTACATAAACTACATTCACCCTGAAGGCATTGGAGTTTGTGACTTTTCTTTTAGATGTTCAGGAATTCATTTCTCTTAAGCCCATCTGAATGTTAAACTACTTGGTTTGCCTACTTTTCAAAGCTTATCAGCACCTAATCCCTTGTAGGTGGATGAGGAAATCAGTTAATTGAAAGTTTATTTAGATAGATGTTTGGGATTCAGCAGGCATAAAGTTTACAGTCAACTGTTTGATTTTTCTATTTTATTACTGGATATTGAACCCAGGGGGTGATCTACCACTGAGGTATTCTCCAGCTCTTTAGTTTTTTTTTTTTTTTTAAATTTGAGACAATGTCTTGCTTAATTGTCCAGGCTGGCTGGCCTTGAATTTGTAATCCTCCTGCCTCAGTCTCCCTACTAGCTGGGATTGTAGGCATGTGCCACCATGCCTGTTTAGGGTCAATAACTCTTGCAGGGGGATTCTGAAACATGCAATGGTTTTCCATGACTTTCTGAAAATTTAAAAATTGCTTCTGAACAATTAATGATAACTCAGAACCTTTTCAAAATTTGTATAATTTAATGTCCTCAGGCTGTTTCAGTTTTGCTCATGTGATTTCAGACCGGGTCAGTCTCCATGGAGTTGTTTTTTGTTGTTGTTGTTGTTGTTTGTTTTTAAGCAGCAGTCCTGTGTGTCTGGAACATTCCTGAAGAGTCTGGACAATTTCTGGGTTTTCTCAGGGACTCAGATTCTCAATGTCAGAATGAGATTCCAAATCTTGTAGGTCTAGCCAACACTGATCTAAACCTTTGTAAAATACCCCTAAACATAACAGTGCTTCAGTGTTATAAAGAACTAGTTTGAGGCTGTTGCAGGTTTCTCAGACTTTTATTTGTAGGAGTGACCCTCTAGGCAACCTTATCCTAGCCACAAACCTGAAAAGTTGTTGTTATTATTGTCTCATGTTGTTATGGCTTTTGGTCTCCCCTAAGGGAAATGAGATATCTGAGTTTTGGGCAAGTGATATTTACTTCTTTGCTTCTTTCTTTCTTCTCATGGATTAGGATGAACATGGTTTCATCTCCAGGGAGTTCCACAGGAAATACCGAATCCCAGCTGATGTGGATCCTCTCACTATTACTTCATCCCTGTCATCTGATGGAGTCCTCACTGTGAATGGACCAAGGAAACAGGCCTCTGGCCCTGAGCGTACCATTCCCATCACTCGTGAAGAGAAGCCTGCTGTCACTGCAGCTCCCAAGAAGTAGATGCCCTTCCTAATTGCATTTTTTAAAATAAGAAAGTTTCCCTACCAGTGAATGAAAATTTTGTGACTACTGCTGAAGCTTATTAATGCTAAGGGCAGGCCCAAATTATTAAGCTAATAAAATATCATTCAGCAACAGATAGCTGTTTTGTGTTTGAATATTTTATATGGTTTTAAATAAACACACAAATACAGCAGATTCATTTTAATCATCATATGATTTGGGGGGTTCCAAGTATTTAAGAGTCAGAATGACTGGTTTCCACCACTTATTAATGACAAAAATTTAGGCAAGTCACTTTATTTTCTCAGTCTTCAGGCCTTCCACTTATAAGATGGGTACTGATTTGTATAGTAAAGAGTAAATTAAGGAGAAAAATTATGTGAAGGGCTCAGTGGTAGAGCATTCGTCTAGCATGTGCGAGACCCTGGGTTCGATCCTCAGCACTAAGTAAAAATAAAATAAAAGGTATTGTATCCAACTACACCTAAAATAAATAAATAAATAAAACAAATAAATAAATAATGTGAAGCCCCTGAGAAAACTGGAGGAATATCAGTTCTTCTCTCTTTCCTCTTTGAGATTGTAGCTCTCAATTTCAATGAATGAACTCTGGCTAACAACACACAAAAGACCTAGTGCATTTCTGAAATTAATTACATCAATGTGGTGACCCTAATGTTATTTGATATTTTTCTACCGGTAAGCGGTGTCTTTAGCTGATTCAACACCCAACAAGCCATCAAGTATAGTCTAAATTATCAAGCAAACGCCTAAAGTAAGGCTGCAAAATATTCAGTGATTTACCACAAAAGGTTAAATTTTAGAATTACAATTAATTACTGATATATATGTATTTCTATTGTTTAGCTTAAACAAAGAAATACTACTCTATAAAAAAATAGAAATAAAACACTTCTCCTGCCCCCAAATATACCCACAAACCTCTTTTCATTTCACTTTTGTGAATCTAAACAAGACTTCTGATTCACTTCCGATTTTGAAAAATAGCCCTTCTATAGGTTATCTGGAATAAATGTTTAGAAAGACCACTCTTATTTTTTACCACCTTCAGCTGATTTCCATTTTTTTAACACACACACACACACATATACATATATATATTTATATTTATTTATTTTAGTTGTATATGGACACAATACCTTTATTTTATGTGGGAGTGAGGATTGAATCCACCATTACCATTACCTCGTGCATGCCAGCGCTCTACCACTGAGCCTCAGCCCCAGCTCCTATGTTTTTGAGGAACCGCCAACTGTTTTCACAATAGCTGCATCATTTTATATTTCCATTAACAGTGTATGAGGATTCCAATTCCTCCATTTCCACATAAATATTTTTTATTTTCTGTCTTTTTGATTATAGACATCTTTTATGTATCTGACAAATTCTTTCTTTTTGGTGTGTGTGTGTGTGTGTGTGTGCGTGTGCGTGTGCGCTGGGATTGAATCCAGGGCCCTATGTATGCTAAGCATGCATTCTAACACTGAGTTAGAATGTAACACCTCCAGCCCCTTTGACTGAATTATTAACATTATATAGAACTTAGCAATATGCAGAGGGGAGATATATATAGGAAGAAAGAACAGCATGAAGTGCTCAGGCATTTAGGTTTGGCTGGAGCACTGGATATATGAGGTGGTATATGGGAAATTTGGCAAGAAAGAAAGAGGTTCTGCTAATTAGTTTGGTATTTATTTTGAAGGCTATAAAAGCCAATGAAGGAGTTTAGCAAAGTTAATGCCATAATCAACTTAAAATTTTAAAACTTCTACTCTAGGGGCAATATAGTGATGGATCAGTAGGGACCAAAATGGAAAATAGAGACATTGACAAAAATGGTATTGCAAAAAACAGCATGATATTGGCACCAAAACAGATATGAAGACCAATGGAACAGAATAGAAGACACAGAGACAAACCCAAATGCAGTTATCTCATACTAGACAAAGTACGAGATAAACATAAACATACATTGGAGAAAAGATAGCCTTTCAACAAATGGTGCTTGGAAAACTGGGAATCCATATGTAGCAAAATGAAATTTAACCCCTATTTCTCACCCTGTACAAAATTCAAAGTGGATCAAAGACCTAGGCATTAGACCAGAAACCCTGCACCTGCTAGAAGAAAACAGACCCAAGACTCTATCACATTGGCTTAGGAACTGACTTCCTTAACAAGACTTCTAAAGCACAAGAAGTAAAATCAAGAATCGATAAATGGGATGGTATCAAACTAAAAAGCTTCTGAACAGCAAAAGAAACAATCAAGAACATGAAGAGAGAGCCTACAGGATGGGAGAAAAATCTTTGCCACCTGAACCTCAGATAGAGCATTAATCTCCAGGATATATAAAGAGTTCAAAAAACTTAACACACACACAAAAACAAACAAACAAAAATAACACAATCAATAAATAGGCAATGGAACTGAACAGACACTTTACAGAAGAAGAAATACAAATGGTCAACAAATTTATGAAAAAACATTCAACATCTCTAGCAATTAGAGAAAAACAAATGAAAACTATACTGAGATTTTATCTTACTCCAGTTAGAATGACAACAATCAAGAATACAAGTAACAATAAATTTTGGCAAAGATGTGGGGGGAAAGGTACAATCATACATTGCTGGTCTGACTGCAAATTGGTGCAACCATTTGGGAAAGCAGTTGGATGTGGGAGACCAACCTTGCATGTGACTGAGTCACTCCCCAGCTGGGTTATTGAGGCAGTCATGCAACAGCCATGCCACTAGACTGCCCCGCCCTTCTGGGGTCTTCGTGCATGGGTGTGCCTTCCTACATCCCCATGAGTGGAGCTATGCTTACCTGTTCCTTTATAATATTACCCCTTGTCCTGTTTGGGATAGAATGTTTCATGGAAACACCTTTTGTGTGTCCCCTTATTTTACTGTGCCCTTTGGTATGGCCTACCTAGATGTCAGTCAACCTGCTGAAAGCAGGCATCATTAAGCTAGACTCAGCCCATTGAAACCTGACCCCTTGCCTCATTTGAACAGCTTCTCCTCATTAAAAGGGGTCAGCATGTGCCGGCTTCTCTCTTTATCTCTCTCTCTCTCTCTTCCTGCAGTCCCTTAAGGTCAGAGGAGCCATCACAGCAACCCCAAAGGAAAAGGTATTTCTGTCTCTTGTGTGGTTATTTCACGCAGCCCAGTTAGCCCAGTTCCCCTGGAGTGACCCCTGAGTGTTTTAGTCGCAAGAGTTGGCAATTCCTCAGAAAACTTGAAATGGAACCACCATATGACCCAGTTATTCCACTCCTTGGAATATACCCAAAAGACTGAAAGTCAGCATATAAGAGTGATGTAGCCACATCAATGTTTATAGCAACTCAATGCACAATGGAACCAACCTAGGTGCTCTTCAACAGATGAATGGTTAAAAAAAATGTGGTATATATACACAATGAAACATTACTCAGCCATAAAAACAATGACTTTATGACATTTGCTGCTAAATGGATGGATCTGGAGACGACTACTGTGCTAAGTGAAATAAGCCAATCCCACAAAACCAAAGGTTGAATGTTCTCTCCAATATGTGGATGCTAACACACAACAAGGTGGGGTAGAAAAGGAAAAACAGAAGTTCACTGGATTATACAAAGGGAAATGGAGGGAAAGAAGGGGGACAGGAATAGGAAAGACAGTGGAATGAATCTAACATAACTTTCCTATGTACATATATGAATATACCACAGTGAATCTCCACACCATGTACCACAAGATTGAGATTCTAATCAGAATAAGAGATACTCCATGTTTGTGTAAATATGTCAAAATATACTCTACTGTTAGGTATAACTAAAAAGAACAATTTTAAAAAATTAGAAATGAAGTAAATACAATTAAAAATTGAAAACAAACAAACAAACAAAAAACACCCAAAATGGTGTTGCAGCAGACTGGGTGAGAAATAATGGGAAACTTAAAAAGAACAAAAGCAACAGAGATATAACAAAAGGAATCAAGAGGAAATATGGAAATAGAATTTACAAGACATGTATCTATTTGGCTGAGGAGGATGAGAAAGGAGAAGATAAAATAATTCCTTAGTTTCTATTTTTGATAACTGTGTGAGCTTGTTATATAACATTTAATATTAAAAATAAGAAAGAGTGGTTAAGATACATAAAAGAGAGCTATGAAATTCACCAAGATACAGGGGCTGGGGATGTGGCTCAAGTGGTAGCGCATTCGCCTGGCATGCATGAGGCACTGGATTCGATTCTCGGCACCACATAAAAATAAAATAAAGATATTGTGTCCATCTAAAACTAAAAAATAAATATATAAAAAAGAAATTCACCAAGATACAGAATACACTAAAGAAAAATCTTCAAGATACAAGATTATGGCTGAGCATGGCGGTGAATACCTGTAATCTTAGCAGCTTTGGAGGCTGAGTCAGCAATATTGAAAAGTTCAAAGCCAGCCTCAGCAAAAGCAAGGTGCTAAGCAACTCAGTGAGATACTGTCTCTAAAATAAAATACAAAAGGGCTGGGTATGTGGCTCAGTGGTTGAGTACCCCTGGGTTCATTCCCCATTCAAAAAAAAAAAAAAACAAAAAACCCAAGATTATGAATACAATTTATATTGTGTTGACTTTGTGGGTTCTTTAAATTTTAAATGGAAAGGCTGGTGTTATAACTCAGTTGATAGAGTGCTTGCCTTGCATGCACAAAGATCTGGGTTCAATCCTAAACACCAGAAAAAAAAAAATCCCAATGGAGAACTTCAGTAAGTAGTTGGATATTTAAATCCAGTGTTCTAGAGAGATATTGGGATAGAAGTTCAGGTTAAGAATTGTAATCATAAAAGTGTGAGTGAAAGTATTTGAGTAGATAGTTCACCTAGGATTAACAAAAGCTTTGGCCAAAAACAAAGGGCCAAAAACAGAATCATGGGAAAGGCAAATTTAAAGATTTGTCAGAGAGGGGCTGGGGATGTGGCTCAAGTGGTAGCGCGTTCGCCTGGCATGCATGCGGCCCGGGGTTTGATCCTCAGCACCACATACAAACAAAGATGTTGTGTCTGCCGAAATCTAAAAAAAAAAATAAAAAATAAAAAAAATTCTCTAAAAAAAAAGAT